CGAGGAGGGATGGAATGTGCTCCTTGGTCTCGCACCCACAGCAACAACTTGTGATTTGACGCCACTCACATGGCGCGGCGTCGCTTGGTACGTTGGAGGCAACCCCATGTGCCCCAAGATGACTCGAACGTCGTTTGTGCAACAGTCGTTTGACTTTTACGACGACTGCTCGAAACCCAAGCCGCTGACTGCGACGCTGACACCATTAACTCTCGTCTTGGCGCGAGCCGCCACGAAAAGTCAGTCCATCGAAGGCATTTGCAGCGTGGCCTCACCGACAGCAGCTTGCGTTGCTGCCATTACAGCTGCCGACCAGCTTTTGCAGTCCCTCGCCTCACCGCTGGTCTGGAATGCATCGATTGCGAATGAGGTTGGTCTCTAGATTGGCTTGATGCAGTACGCCACCGCCGCCAATGGCTCGTGGGTCGTCCTCAAACAAGCTCTGCTCGAGCCCTCGTTTGCACTCTTCGGTTGGATTTTTCTCTTTGATTGGGTTCTCGGCAATCGCGAAGTCGTCTCATTTCAAGGCGACAACGGCAATCTGACGCTCATCTCCAACGTCTATACCCCGCAGCTCTACACGACGGGGACGCAGCCGCTGCAGTCGGCCACGCAGATTCTCTACTACCTTGTGGTCGCCACCTCGGTGATTCTCGTCAGTGTCGGCGGGATTGTCTTGGTATATGCAGTCAAGACGCGGTTCCAGTTCAACGGTTTGAACCTCTTCTTCTTCAACCGGATCGTGGGGGCCGTTTGGCTCGGTCGACCGCTGGCCTTTCTACGAGGCGCGTCGGCCATCGTACTACTGAGCTCGGCCAACGCGTCGCTTCTGACGTCGTCTGCTGGTGCATCGCGGTTTATCGCGACACCTCGGAGCTGGATTGAAGCTGTGATCGTGACGGGCGAGGCAACCTGGCTCACGTACGTGGCGAATGACATTCTGGTGCTACTGACTCGAGATGGCACCAAAGAGTACAGCTCCATGGCGAGTCTGCTTTCATGGCCGATCCTCTTTCTTGTGGAAGTGGCGAGTCCCGTGACAGTCTCTGGAAGCTTGAATCGCGTCTGCATCGGCAACGACATGGACTATGCTGTCACGTGCGCGAGTGGTGTCATCTTCACCGGCAGCATGGATCGAGTGGCTTTGATCTTGGGGGTTCAAGCAACTTTACTACTCGGCTGTCTGGGTCTTGCAGGGGCACGGGCGTGGATCACGGGACATCGATGGACCGAACGCAAGGCCTCGCTGCTTCTCAGTGGTATCACGCAAGCCTTGGTGACGCCTGCGAATGGCACCAGCAACTCCCAGTCTGTCATCGACCACGTCGCTTGCGTCCTAGCGGGGGTGCTGCCTCTGCATTACTCGGGTGTTAATTTCACGTTTGACATCAAACTCTGGCTTTTGCTTCGAGATGGCGTGGGCGTTTCTGGCTACCTCCGAGTACTGCGAGCCCCCGCGGTTCTCAACGCACCGTCCGACGCCTCGTCGCACGCCGTGCAAGCCACGCCGCTGCGTTGCGACAACCAGCATCGTCGACGAGCCTTTCGTGTGCTCTGCCGCTTCCTCGGAGCTGGCTACGTTGTGTCGTCGATCCTTGGCTCTGTCTCGTACCTCAACGTCTCGGAAGTCAACTTGGCCAACGATGTCTTTTGGGCCACCTTCAACACCACGGGTGCCCACGCCTTCCTCGCCAACTGGCTCAACGAACAACTCATCATTGGCAATACCACCATGCTTGATCTCTCGCTCGATCGACCGAGTATCAACGCCATGGCATCCTTTGCGTCATCAACTGCCCTTGTTGCATCACCCGCCAACTATGGCGCCTACCTCCAGCACACGCTACTGAGCTCGATCGAGGCGACGATTGAAGGACTGAGACGCTCGAATGGCTGTGACGCGCCCTGGATCTTTTCTCCGTACTGCTATCTTGACCTGAAGAGGTCGTGGACGATGGCCAACTCGGCCAAGCGCCAAGCGAGGTGCGACGCGAGTATGACGACCAACGGCGCCGTGTACCTGGAGACCGTTCTGCGCAACGTGGATTTCGGCAGCTTTCATAGCTGCTGGGGCACGGGCTTTGACATTGGAATCGGTGCCGAGCTCAAGTTGTCATCGGAAGGTCGCAACTGGCTGGACATGGTCTCGAGCACGACATCACAGTTGAGTACAAGTGACGAAGCTGTGTACTGGCGGTCGTTTGGCCTCACAACGTATCAAACACAGTGGCAAAACTTCAAGAAACTCGGAGTTCGCAACAGCTACTCGATCATCAACGCGTTTGGCATTGAGTACCCGCTGACGCTGGCGTCCCAAGCTGGCACCTTTCGCCGTGGCAGCCAGACAACGTTCAAAATGTACTGGTCGCTGGCCAACGATCTCTCAGCCGTGGCATCCAACTCGTCTGGTATTGGTGGTCGCAGTCTGTTGCGGTCCAGTGCCACCTACGCTTTTACCAACACCTCGCTCGCGAATGTTTACGTGATCAACGGGACGCTCGTCTCACCTCTGGCGCAAGGCTTGCAGCTCACCACCTCGTACCTTGGCCCGTTTGGCTCAATCGACATGGTCTATGTACCTGCGCCTCTCGCCTTGCAACAGGTCGTCTCGACGCTCTTGGAGCTCGCACGGGCGCCACTGGTAGGCACGCTAGTGGCCCAAGCTGCCTACTACAACATCACACCGCTCGATATTTCGTACCCCGTGCCCGGTGCATGGCTGGCGCTTCCATTCCCAGTTTCACATGGGGGGTCGCCGCTGTGCCCCGACCTCTCGGCGGCGCGGCTCATGTCTGCAGGGCTTGCTAGCATCGTCTCGTACGACGCCATTTGCCTCTCAGCGTCCGGCGCAATGGCGCGAATCCAGCCGACGCGGTCTCAATATGTGCTTGGTGCGGTTTTTTCTGGCCTGCAGCCAACGGACAACCTTGTTGCTATCTGTGCCCATGACGCCTCGTACACATTGCAATGTCAGTCGTATCTTCCAAAGACGCTCTACTACATCTCTACATATATGCAGCGCCGGCCATTGTGGCTCGAGAGCCGAATGGCATCTGTCCAGCAGCGCGTCTACAACATGAACATCTCCTTCATGATCTACACCAAGGCAAATGCATCGTCTTCCACGCTCCAGCTACGCACTAAAAACCTCCTCGACAACGACGAAGCGTCCTTCCGCTTCTTTGCTTGGCTCTACCTCTACGACTGGGTCCTTGGGATTCGTGAAGTCATCTCGTTCCAAGGCGACAACAACAACCTCACACTCCTCAGCGACATTCAACCACCATTGGCGCAAGCCACGCAGGCGTGGGAGATCCCCGCCAACATTGCCAAGTACCTTCGCGCCGGTGTCCTCTACGTCACGGGTGTCATGATGGCGATTGCGAGCGCGGTGGTCTTTTACATGCTCGTGAGCCGCGGTCACTTTGAAGGTCTTAATATGCTCGAGCTCGGTCGTGTCGGCGGGATTGTCTGGGTCGGAAGGCCGTTCTTGTTGCTTCGGAGCATGACGGCCATCGTCGTCTTGTCGACCGCGACGCTCGAGCTGCAGTACTCGGGCTATTTGAGTTACTTGGTACCCGTCCGCGATCCGTGGTACAAGACGCTACTGGCGGCCAATGAAGTCACGTGGCTGATTACGATCGTCAACGACATCTTATTGGTCGTGACGGGACCATACGCGACGCACTATGCGATTCTTAACGGTCTGCTGGTGTGGGGCATAGCTGCGCTCCTGACCATTTTGGCGCCCGTCACATCGACCCTCTCGGTCCACCTCGACTGTCACTTGGTGGGTGTCGACCACGAAGCCGCGTGTACATCGGGTGACTTTTACATTGCAAGTCCGATTCGCATGGCCGTCCTCATTGGCACCGTCCTCGTCTCGCACGGCGTGTGCTACTTTGTCGTCCGACGAACGAGCCGCAAGCCGCCGTCGACGCCGGTCGCGTCACTTTTTCTTACGTCGGGGGCCAAATTCCTGTTTGTGTCATCGCCGTGGATACACAAGAATGTCTACTATGTGGACCGAGCGTCGGCGGCGCTCGTCGGTCTCTTGACACTGCGACGCGGCACGACGTTATTCGTTCTGGACGTCAAGATTTGGCGACTCTTCCTAATACCACTGAACTGCGACGTGAAGACGCCGACGTCACTTCAAAGTGGTGTACCGCTGCTGGATGCGGGCCAGTAGCAAGCAGGAGCAGGAGCTTCAAGCGACTAGTAGTGCTATGCAGTCTTAAAGTCATCTTTTTCGGCTCGAAAGCCGGCGCCATCGCCACTCACTCGATGACCCAAACCCACAAAAAGTGCCATGGATACCCTATAAAAGGTGTGCACATTGCACTTCGAAAACTGAAAACTGTTTTGAACCTTGCACTTCGAAAACCGAAAACTGTTTTTAACCTATAAATTCAACGCGTCCGAGACAACCCACGAAGCTGGAGCGTTGCAGATGCTCGTCCTCGCAGCGCCTTCTAGGGCACTGGTGCCCGTAAACCTTGCGTCTACACCGCGGCAACGATGGGTGGCATGTGTGGGTCTTCTGTACCTCATCGCCTCGCTCGGCATCGGTCTCTGGTACCTCTCGCTCCTCTCGCCAAGTCTGGCCAACGATCTATGGTGGGCCCGGCTTTACCCCCACGGGCGGCGAAGCCTTGCTCATCGATCTCGTCAACGCCCAACTGGCGCTGACCGCGACGTCGGCCCTCAATATCTACGCAGATGATGCAACGATGCACAAGCTCTACAACGCGTCGACCGCCACCACGAGTATATCGCCAACCTACTCTCGTCGCCTTCTCTTGACCGAGCTCACGTCCATCGAATACGCCGTGCCGCAGCTACGCACACTCAGCGCCGCGTGGTCGATGCGCATGAACGTGCAGCACTGCTGAGGTCGACTTTAACCAGACGTTTGGAGATTGCACACACAACCACTCGTCAAGCAGCGCTGCAAGGACCAGTTTGCGACCAACGGCGCCGTGTACCTCGGAGGCTATCTTGCGCAACGTGGTCTGGGCCGACTACATGGCGACGTGGGGCGGCGTCAACAGTCGCTTTGTCATTGCGTACGAGCGGGCACTGCAAGAAACCACAACAGGACAAGCCTTTTTGAGTCAAGTCTCACAAGCCCGCAATACGACAACAATCAGTGACGAGCTCTTGTACTGGCGCCAGTACAACTTGGATCGGTTCCAGCTGCAGTGGCAGAACCGGTGGCAACCCGGCATCACGGAAACCATCCTCTTGGAGAATGCAATCGGACTGCGGGAGCTCGTGACCATCAAGAACTTTGCCCAAGGCGCGGGACCCTGGACGACGAATCTTCTCTTTTGGATCCCACTCAACGATCTCACGCTGGCCAAATACATGAATCGAAGCATGGTGCGAGGCTCGTCCCGCTTCTTTGGTGCCAACATATCAGCGTCTCTGCCTGCAAAGGACTTGGAGGTCGTCCAAGGTGTCACGCCTGTCGCGGGCCAGTTTTTTAACCAATCGGCGCTCTTTCGACAAACGATTGGTCCGTTCCAGACGGTCGACGTCTTCTACCGGAAAGCTCCCTCGGCGTTGACCGCAGCGTACGAGGAGGGACGGAATGTGCTCCTTGGTCTCGCACCCACAGCAACAAATTTTGATTTGACGCCACTCACATGGCGCGGCGTCGCTTGGTACGTTGGAGGCAACCCCATGTGCCCCAAGATGACTCGAACGTCGTTTGTGCAACAGTCGTTTGACTTTTACGACGACTGCTCGAAACCCAAGCCGCTGACTGCGACGCTGACACCACTGACTCTCGTCTTGGCGCGAGCGGTCACTAGAAGGCAGTCCATCGGGGACATTTGCGTCGTGGCCTCGCCGACAACAGCTTGCGTTGCTGCCATCACAGCCGCCGACCAGGTCTTGCAGTCCCTCGCCTCACCGCTGGTCTGGAATGCATTGGTTGCGAGTGAGGTTGGTCTCGAGATTGGCTTGATGCAGTACGCCACCGCCGCCAATGGCTCGTGGGTCATCCTCAAACAAGCTCTGCTCGAGCCCTCGTTTGCGTTCTTTGGCTGGATTTTTCTCTTTGATTGGGTCCTCGGCAATCGCGAAGTCGTCTCATTCCAAGGCGACAACGGCAATCTGACGCTCATCTCCAACGTCTATACCCCGCAGCTCTACAC